TTCTTATGATTTATTGTTTCAGATTTTTTGTTTTTTGCTATAACCATTCGTATACAAGATTCGTGTTCTGAGTGTTTCTTTTTTTTTTTTAATACTAGGAATATCATTATTATTCTGGAAATTCGTCTTTCCCTTAAATAAGGAGATTTTTTGATTTATCAAACAGGATAAGGCGAGACATTTTGAAGGAAAAAATTTGATCGATTATCTTTCACTCGTCGCCCATCCGAATTCCGCGATAAGTTTCTCCAAATTGTTACAAGATAGAGATAATATCGACGAATTATTCCATCTCGTTACACATGAAGCATCGCTCCATAATGAATAACGGCACAGTTGTAGGAGGGAGATAAATCAAACAAATAGGGCGCACAATATAATATTTTTTATTTAAGGAATTTCTAGAGGGAATATTAATTTCATTCTCTATTTTCGTAAAATTTAATATCAATCTTGTATACTTAAATTTATATCAAATTATATATATTATCCAATTTGAATTATTTTTATTCATATCTATGTGTAGGTCGTCACTGTTCAATAGGTTATTAATTTAAATTTTAAAAGAATAGAGATAAATTTAATTATAAAATATATTAATTTCATTGATAAATTTCACGATAAATTAAATTAAATTAAGTTTGAATAAAATTGTAATTCATAATTTACTAAAAAAAAAAAAAAAAATCCATGGAAGTTGTCCCTCTTCGATTTCTATGATCGTCGAAATTGTAAGAAATAGAAAAAAATGTTTTAAATGAAAGTGATTGGAAAAGGCACTTTACAATAATAATTTTAAAACATTTGTTTAATTAAAAATTTTTTAAATTATTATTATTAAGTATCTATTCTTAAAACAATTCAACTTTTATTTTAGTATTTTAGATATTTTTTTGTATCTCTTACAGTTTCAATAATATTCGCTTTGAAAGATAAGCGATTTTTTTTCAAAGAAATTTTGCGAACTCTAAAAGTGCGATTGGCCTTTATAAAAAAATATGTATCTCTGGTTTCTGTCTAAAAAACTACATATTTAAAGCTCATCAAAATCAAAGGGAGACAGTTTTTTCGATTTCTTGGATTTCCTTGTAAGTGCATACTTTAATATAAACATTGTTCACTTTGAAACTATCCATAAAAATACATTACATTTTGACACACGTGAAAGTTAAAGAAACAAAATGTTAATATTTAATAAAATGTTATTTAATTCAAAGCATTGATCAGTTACTATTGCTCCTGTGATATCTAACAGTGTAACAAGCAATGGCTTACATATAACAGAATAATTCATCGATACCTCTGTCTTATAACAATTTTACCAAACTCTATTGCAATGCAAAATTTGGATGGCCAATGAATGAAAAATGGTCGTCAAATTTCCTCTGCTATCCCAAACATCTCTCGTCCTATCTTATTTTATAAATCAGGGAAACACCTCAGCCGAGAGGAAGACGAATTTCCGGGGTAATATTGGAATGTAAGCGAGTAGTAGGATCGGTATTCGATCAAGGCTGGCTCGTGTCTCCATATCTCGTGTTAACTGCTCTTCGGCATGTTGTCGGCAATGTTAATTCGTGCTTACTTAGCGGTGATCCTTGTCGCTGCGAACCACTGCGAATATCCGTTTAATTTACTTTGTGTCGACCAAGAGAGACAGAGGTAGAGAGAGGAAGATCGTCTCTGTTCTCAGATTACAATTAGCGAACTGAATGCGCGTATCGCTCTTAAAGCAATCTCCAGACACATTTCCAAGTGCAAGTTTATGAACTTGCAGTTACGTATCCGCAGGTATACAATCGTCTCGATAGTTCCGTTCAAGTTAGTTATTAACTTACAGTAAAGGATTATGTGCGAAACTAGAAATTGCTTTAGGCAACGAGTGAAAAACGACTCCGTGTATCGTGTAACAATGTCGGATATTTTCTACTGATCTATCTCGTTCCATAGACGTGACAACACGAACCTATGTTCTGCGTGGTATCGACAAGTACACCCGCATCGATCTGTCCCAATGACGTAGGCGATTTAAATAATTAGATCATGATTGTGAACACACTGCGCGCATAGGATACACCCTAGAAGCGCGGCTTCTGCGAAAATTTAGTTGGTTCACGTGGCACGTGACGCGCCGGCAAAAGCCGAGTCAATAGAATTGTACGTAACATCGTCGGGGTCACTGTTGGCCAAGCCAAAATTACGTTCTTGCTTTGCTCGTGTTGTGCCCTACGGTATCCGCATGGCGAATAATTAAACGCGCAGAGAGAGGGAGTGAGGAAGAGAGTGAGTGAGTGAGTAAGTGACTGAGTGAGTGAGTAAGTGAGAGAGGGGGAGGGGGAAGGGGAGAGAACCAAACCAAGCCAATACATTTGGGGATTGTCTGAAATATTTAGACTTGGTTTGCGGCAATGCACCAGTGCCATCCGTTGCTGAAATTACTACTTGCTGGAATCCCAAGACATTTCCCAACGAAAAATAGGACACCGGATTATGAGAATTGAGAAACGAGAGATCAAAGAATGGGAAAATCGATCATAAGTCGAAGATAAACTCTAAATTGTTCAAAACTCGAAAACTAAAATTTTAAACTTTCGCCAGGATATATTTGTACTATGCATTTGCAAAGTTTATTAGATTTTTCTATCCAGAATACGCTAAACCGAATCGATAATGTTACTTTACAGTATTTTCTAAAGATATTTTCTTTTCTTGTTTGCGAAGCATCATTTATTTATAACGCCACGATGCTTGCACTCGTCCTGTTTGCTCTTCGTAGAAAACATTAGAAGTAAAAAAGAAAAAAAAAGGAGAGAATAAAAATGGCGAGGTGCAAGCACCGCGGCGGGAGGGAAACAGACTGAAGAATAAAGTTCAGTTTCTTTCTATTCTTTTGTGAGTCTCGAGTAGGTTCCTTCCCACGCATTCTTCGCCACTCAACTTTTAAAGCGCAGACGAACGGCTCGAATTATCTCATTTTCCGTAGGAGTTATTAATTCACGTAATATGGTGCGAAAATCAACGATATTACAAGATTTCGAGCAAATTGCAAAATCTTAATTAACATTTGCAAATTTTCGCAATTCTCTCATGATTCTATTGCTGTATTTTTCCTCAGAATTTAAAAGATGAAGATTACATAACTGTCGACAATTTTCTAATGTCGGCGTTTATAGAGCAAAGATTATAGGTTCTCCAAAACTAAGAACGTCACCATATCACCGTTCAGGCTGATCCACATTCGCTGACTCTATCTCCTTTATTCATCCTTTACAGTCGATTATTTTGCCTCTTCTCATCCCGTTATATTAATACGATCTCAATTTAATTATCGTAGGTATCTATCCGCGCTTTCGCTGTCAGGTTGCCGCCTCATATTTCGCTGCTTTACGCGACGTTGTCCCAGTTTCTGGGCCGACCCGGTATTAACGTGAGATATATCGTCGCGTGTTGAACAAAAAGCACCGTCGATGTTATTCGTCGGTGTCTGCCTTTGTTCCGCGATAATATTTTATGTAAACGCTGAGCTTACGCGTCTTCTCTCTCTCTCTCTCTCTCTCTCTTCCTCTATAGAAACAAATGTTTTATCTCTCTACCGCGTAAAAAAAATTTTTTAAACATGAAAAATTGAGTCGATATGAAAATAGAGTCGATCGTGGCGCACCAGTTATACCGATGTATGTATTTGAAGAGAACCACGCAAAATTCTATTTAATAATAACGTATCTCGTGGATCAGTTTCCATTATGGCGGAAATATCATACGTCGGACTCCTATCAATTCCTCATTGGTGGACTCCGCGCTTTTCGAACGAGGTATAAAGCTGAAATATAGATCGTTTTTTTTTTATTTGATTACTACAACGGACGACTGCACTGTGCGGCACGTAGTTCGAGAACAACTTTATTGGTGAGTGCTCCCCTGCAACAAACGGTATCGGAAAATGTTGCGAAAGCAGCGTTGTAACGTACTGTAAGCGGTGAATAATAAAAATAGTTGATAGTCGTAAGAGCCTATGATGTTATACCGGTATTCAGTCCTCCGATAGTTTTCGCTGGATAGCGGAAAACTAAGTCGAAGCAGTTTATGGATCTTCATTTATCGTCATGTGTGTAATATTATAGTTTTACCGCTTTCCGACGTGTCATATTTTCTTTTCGTTCTATTTTATTGTACATCTGTTTTTTTATGTATCTTTTAAAAATTCTTTCATCGCCTGTCTTGGCACGTCTTATGCCGTCTATTGTCCTCTAAAGAGAGCGTCAAGTTTCGAAATTGTACAAACACTTCAAAATAGCGTTGCGGTATTTGGACAAAATGCACAAAAAGGACAAAAACATTTTGAGAAATATAATAGAATGTGAAAGGATAGAAAGAAAAGTGAATGTAGGTACTTCAACATCTTCATATTTCGAATGCCTTTATTACCATTTTATGTATGATTTTATAAGCACTTTATTAGATGATTAAATTCAAATAGCAATAATTGTACATATATACATATATTTTTATATGTATAATTTTTTGGAATAATTTTTTTTTTTAGACAATGTGAAACAATATTGAAAACGAACGACGAATACCGCGTCAAAGTAACTCCGACGTCACTCCAGGTTCTGGTCGCTAATAGTTCTCGGTTTCGAGAACTTGAAGTTTCTCAACATATCCCGCTTCGTCCCGTATCCTCCACGACACAGGAGCGTAATTTCACTTTGAAACGTTCGCAAACAAGTTTACCGACTCTCAAGGGTCGCTAATGTCTATATATTCGATGCAAGATGCGCTTTAATCGCACTATATTAATCGCTCACTGGGTAATTACGTCTCGTTTTTTGAATAGCGCTTTTATCTCGCATAACTCAATGCGCCCCGAAAGAGTATTGCATGCGACGTTACGTAATTCGCAGCTCAGAAAACTTGCTGCTAATTAGTTCTTCACTAGTTTTCCCTTTGAAGGAAGGGGCTCCTTTCCACATTTAATTTGGTTCTACTTTTGGTTTCAGTATGCGGCGACATTCACGGACAGTTCTACGACCTGATGAAATTATTCGAAGTGGGTGGTCCACCTTCCTCGACTAAGTATCTCTTCCTAGGCGATTACGTCGACAGAGGATACTTTAGTATTGAGGTGAGTATGTGAAAAGTAGCAGGTTGTTTTAGAAAATTATGTTTCTACACTGAAAAAATATACTAAATTTTAATAAATATTTAATAAATTTTTTGTTTGAATAGTACTAATGATGCTTGCATAAATAAATATATGTTTATTTATACATTTATTAATGTTTAAATGAATATTAATTTGATTTAACAATAATTTATTATCGAGTAAATATTTATTTATTCAATAAGTATAAATAAATATTTAATTAATGCCACTGAAAAAAATATGTATTAAGATTTAGTGATTTTTTTCCTCGATATTATTACTAAGAGTTGTCTTTAAAATAGAAAGAACGATTATGCTGAAATCTAACAATTTGATTAGATACAGATCTAAAGATAATTTTGTTGGACTATTAAAATAATTACATAAGAATCTCAAGTATGACGAGTAATGCTGCAAAAAGTTTTGATGTTGTAACAACCAGTTTGAACATTCTATATAATTATTTTAACAAAATTATTTTCAAATCTATATCTAGTTGAAATTTTTGATACTTCAACAATACCGCATCTTTTCCGCATATATGCTGTGTAGCTGTACTATTTGCATGTACATTTGTATAATATATTAATAGGACAAACGTAAATGAACATGTATCCCTTTATTCTGATTGTCGGGGAGAAAGTTTCATCTCGAGAATTATGTGAGAGCATTCACTCATCGGATTTTGTAATTAGCGTACGTTCTAATTAATTTATTATTAAATCGCTTGCTCGCTTATCCAGCTTTCACTTATTCAGCTTAGCGAAAGTATATAAAATCGTTAATTCTCTGACAATGAGAAACTTGCTTTGGTACTACCCGATTGTCGTAAATATCCTGACACATTCAAAGATCATTAAAATTACTAATTAACAAATTGCTTATTAACATTTATGAAGTTTTTGAAAACTCTGATCTTTAAAAACGAACAATCAATTACATTGTCCGATAAGAAATAACTTTTGAACATCAAAACAAGGCTAATCATGTTCTCTATTTTTTTGGATGCTGAATCTGTTTTCCAAATTGCTTTACGTTACATTTTTGAGAAATTTGCAATTAAAGTTGCTAAAAAGAGCTGTTCATATGTTTCATATATTTTGTTATACTATATAAGTATGATATGTGACGAGCTGGAAAATTTATTGCAAAGTTAAGTTGTTGAGATTTTCAGCTTTCAAAAGGACTTTTTAGTGTCAAGTGTGGTTAATAAGACATTCATGGTTAAATTTACAGAAAAGCTGTGAATTGATTGTTGATTATTTATTACTGATTATTTATCAAATGCGTTCTAATTACATTTATTTAAACTTAAAAGTTTTTTAAGTTACTGAATACAAATAATCCGATATTAAAAGTGACTTAATTGACAAATTTAAAATGACAGATTCAATATGGATATCAAAACATGAAAATGTCTGGGTTATCGTAAAAATTTACGTATAAAGATCTTTCGTATAATGATTTTAAACTTATTAATTTTGATATGAGAGTCAATACTAAAAAATTCGTTTGAAAGTTCTAACGGCATACTTAATGTTGATTGTAATAAAACTCTGGCATGTCATATACCGTAGTTATAATATGATAAAATATCCCTTTATTACAATTTTAACTGAAAATTGTGACGTGATGGAGCAATTTCTCAAAATTATGACGTGATGGAGCAATTTGGAAACTGGATTCAACGTCCTAAAAAGTTACTGGGAAATGACTAATCTCATTCTGATGTTTTTTTAATCGAACAGTTAACAAATGTATTGGATTAAATATATATTTAATTATTATAATAATCACGATTATTTCGCGACAACAACTTATACATATTCTTAAAAATTAGAAATGTATAACTTCTTGCTAACAATTTTACGTAAGAGTATAATTTCTTGTCTACAATTCCACGTAAAAGTATAATTTCATGTCAACGATCTTACGCATGTCAACAATATTACCCAGAAAAGCAATATCCTGTTTGCTTTAGTCGCATCTTATTATTTCTAAAACTCGATTTTTTGTTGAAGACCTTTTTATTTAAATATAACGGCTAGATATCTCCATGTAGAGATAGATACGTTTTGGATTTTCTCAAATGAAGAGTCTCCACTTTGAATATAGAAAACGCAATAGTCAAGAGAGGAAGACTCCTGCACGTGTTCACGTACAGTGCATTTGTTACTCGGAAGTATTATGCTCGTTTTCCTAAATGTAATTTCGAAGCATGCGCGAATAATCAACTTTGATCCGACACGAGTAGTCTAGTTTGCGAGATAAAATTTCGTCACGGGCGAGTTCGCTTCATGTCGAGCATAATGCAATATTCCGTCGTGCTACTAGGAACAAGAAAATGCGCGAGAAGAGACTCGAAATAGAGATTTCGCGTGTCCCGGGAAATTTTTAAAGTAACGAACTGTTTCCTTTTGCAAATTCCAGGAGGCAGGGGAGAAACTACATAGTTTTAGTGCGATCGTCCTAAACCGCATGATACACAAAATGCAATTTCACTGCGACGACGCGTAGATATCTCGAACAAGATGAAATTTCAGGACTCTATTTTTGAAGGAAGTCGATGATACTACAAGTTCAACATTGATCGTAAAGTTTTTGAATATACTTGGAAAGAAAAGTGATCTTATATTTTCAAGATTTTAGTAATCTCATATTTTCAAGATTTTACGTCTTTCGTCGGGAATTTACTCGTCTGTTTTAATTTATTCAGAATAAAAGAAATATTATTAGTTTCAAGATAATATTTTTATTTTTATTTGTAATCTCATTCATTGATTTATTTGAAAAAAAAAAAACAACTATGGCAAACATTCGCGAGATATAATTTCTGACTCGTAACGAAAACTACCAGGATTTTACGCAGCAATTTACAGTGTAGAAATTTACGGAAGAAATAGAGGACAATCCAATATTGTACGTGGTATTACACATGGTGCGCTGCGTATACCCAAGATTTAAATATATTCTCCGCGAAGTACATTTCATGCGGGCAAGATGGCTCTTTTTAAGAAAATCTCTTGATATATTCCACGGTTGCCGTTATTCAGATCGAGCTGCGTCTTCGTGGATTCTCTGAATAATGCAAGGCACAGCATGTCGTCGTTGTGAAGAGCGCACGGATGCCGTCAGATTTATGACGCACGCGAATGAATGTCGACGGTCCAAAGCCGTATGCGAATTGCTGTTTCCAATCAAACTGATGAACTTAATGGAATCTTTTATAATCGATTGATACATATTTCCGAGCAAACAAAGTAATACCGCAGTAATATAGAGTCTTTCCCGCGAACATTCTTTTCGTTTCAGTTGCTACTCGAATTGTAAGTTATTCTTATAAACACTAATAACGTTAATTAATTACATTGTATTTTCCTCACTTCATCTTTGATATTAAAGAAATTATTTTTGTCCGATTGTTAGACCGTACTAAAATAAGAGTCTGATATTAGGTACCAAATGTCGAATGAAATAATGACAATAAAATGTCTGCTTAATATAATCAAAAATAATTTTATTTTTCTGAACATTAATAAGTATTATTAACTCAAATAGTTGATTGTATTATTATGTTTAATAGTTTTTACTGAATATTAAAAAAAATAAAATCATTTTTTATTACTTTAACCGAACAATTACTATTAACAGACTTTTTCTATGTACAATTTTTATTTTCTCCGTTCGCAAAAATACAAGATTTCTCGGTGTGTCGGTGATATTTTTTTCCTTGAAGGATAATTTTGCTGTAGTGCAGATGCGGATTCGATCGTATTTACGACTGTGTTACGTGAGCGCTGATTTATCCACAAGACACGAGAGTTGGAGTGTAGTTTCTCTCTCTCTCTCTCTCTCTCTCTCTCTCTCTCTCTCTCTCTTTATTTTACACGATATTTGAGAGTACGGAGTATCTCGTGGAGAAAATGGACTACCTTCGCCCACTGGTAAATGGTATTATAAATCGAAACCGCGTGCGTTCTGGTGAAAAAGGTTTCTGTCGCGCAGCTTCTTGCACTCAGAGAATGTTCAATCCTTCAAGGATGCTTCGTTCGATAGCTGGCGTGGAGAAAGGATTCGTTCCGCGTTTTAAGAGAGTATGTCATTGAAGCACAGGTACGCAATCGCGCGATACCGCATAACCTGTGTACGTGTATATTCTAGTATACGTATATGTGTGTGTTTGTATATGATGTACACGCGATAGTGATACGTTAAATCTCCGTGAGATCAATATTCTACCTGTGATTCCGATGGCTTCTTTAATGGCAGAAGCCTTTTCTCCGACGACATGTTCGACAGAAACCCTTGCTCTTGATCATCCCAAGAGATATAGAGGTCGAATCCGAGTTTAAAGAGAAAATACGAATACAGAGGTTTCGTTCTTCCTGGATCGTTTGTTTGAAAATCTTATTTCGTTGTTGAAAATCATTTTCGCTGTAGAAAGGAAGTTCCCTTCAAATTATCTTGAATAATTTTTTCACGTTTATAAGAAAAGCAAATTATACAATTATACAATTTAGAGAATGTGGAAGTAGGTAAAGTTCAAAATTGTTAATTGTTAAATTAATTACTAAATTTGACAATTAATTTAACTTGAACTTTAGTGTATATTTTTATGTTCCAGAGTGTATAAAAATTTGAGAAAATTCACATTTGAAAGCTTTAACAACCAGTTTTACTGTCATAGTTTTCACTATCATTACTATCATGGAAATTATACTATAGTTATACTATAATTTTTATTGTTATAGATTATATTTTACTTATTTTTTACATATTTAAATTTAATTATTAAAATTTAAAGCAAGAAAACGACTATGTCTTTAAAGTCCATCATTATCAACGAAAAATTGAATTTATACTCTATTTTTTTATTTAATTACAGTCTATTAAATTTTATTACTATAGCATATTAAACGAATAATAAATTTTACACACACACACACACATACATATATATATATATATATATAAGCAAAGGCGTCTTTTTATTGCATTGAATATCTCAAGTGGTATTGAAGGAATCACTATCAAAATTCTTATTGAAAAGAATCTTTAAAAGAATGGCCAAGAAATTATGAAAACATTGAAAAATGTTTACGAAGATAAAGCAGCGTGTTTCTAAGTAGTACAAATCTTTGTTAAGTTGGAAAAAGAAGTTTCAATCGGCATCTTGACTATTTCAATTGAAGAGTTTCGAGAGTACTTCTCTAACTGTGGGAACATCATTGGAATATAAACGCAAATGGATTCTCCGCCTTGAAGAAGATATTATTAATTTGGACAACGAATGAATTTAACAAGTTTGAATTAAAAATAAAAAAGAATTATAATTATACATATCTTATGTACAAATTCGATTGTCAATCTATATTTATATGCGTTTCGCACAATCGTCATATAAGGGCCACCACACACAAAATGACAAACTGCATAAGCATAGCACAAGACCGCTAGATCAATGATTATCTAACAAAAAGACGCCATATTGATTTGCAGAAGATGTTTATTGGCCCAGCAGTCTTATGCTATGTTTATACAGCTCACGTCATTTTGTGTGTGATGGCCCTTAGAAGGGACCTATATATTCGATGCGGAGAGCACGAGTGTGCCGCTCGCGAGCGATCCGCGGCAGAATCTGAAGGACGAGCGCGTTATTTCGTTACAATGCCAATGAGGGCCCTCGCGTGTAATTATAGCGGCCGGGACAAGGCGAGAACGAGCAGCCGCTCCGTTGACTTCGCAAAGGGATGGTGGAGGAAGAAGGGTCGCGGAACGACGCGAGGGACGGACGACGGTAGACAGTCGATCGGGTCAGCAGGGAGAAAATAATTGACCTCGAAAGTCTAAGAAAAAAAATTGCCGGCGCCCTGGCTTTTACGGATGCGAGGATTTATCTCGTCGATACCTCACCGCCGACGTGTTAACCATCGCCACGATGTGCGAGCCTGTGAGACGCGAGAGCGGGAGATAAATATCCTATGTAACCAATGTGTGACATTTCTTTCCCTCTATCCCACTGAGTCGAGCCGCGATGCGATGTTGGGTAGTTCCATGGTATCGATTTGATGTACAAAGGTTAAATATTCCGGTCCAGCGGTTTCAATCGCAATCACATCTGTTTCACCTTACGTAAGACCGCGATGCTAGAATAATTTTCAACTTTTTCTCGGAGATTTCTTCCCTTTTACGCTCTGCAGTCGCAAAAGACTGGGAAGGGCCACTCAGCTATCCTTTCCTCAATAGGTTAGGCAAAGATTAACTTTTTAAAAGAGAAAAATCGTTCCAGGATGAATAATAATATCGAGTTGGTTTTCATTTTGCCTTTAATCTTTTAGAGATTCCACACTGTATCGTTTTATTATGTATCTATCACATTGGATATTGTTAAAAATATTTTATAAAAATGTGTTAATTAAATGTGTTAATTTAAATATTATAAATAATATTATTAATGTATCATAAATGTTAAATTATATTATAAATGTTAAATTTATTGAAACATATTAATTTGTTGACATGCTATAAATTTTAATGAAGAAATGTAATTGCTTGCAAATTGTATCAGTGTTACATTTTTTAATTAATTTTTTGTGTAACTCTAAAATTAAGACATCTTTCCTCCGTCTACTGATTTTTCGATTACTTTTAACTTAATTTTCACAATCTTTTAATAATTTTCTAAAAATAATGAAATATCAACAAGTTTTTGTCATAAGTGATTGAAAATGTGGAGTGTTACTAAAATTAAACTTTCGAATTGCCTGCCGAAGGATAAATTTATTCTTTTCATTTTAAGACTGTTATTATATCGTTGAATAGAAATTTAATTTTCGAAATACGTTGAAAACTTGAAAAATTATGAGAAGAAATATTGGATTCCATTGAATTTTCTATTAAAATTGCTATTAAAAAATTGATAGGGTAAAGAAATCTTGCGTTTGATACAATTGCATTTTGCATATTGATGATATCAAGATTGTTCGAATTTTCCATATTGCGAGAAAATTGTCGACGAACGTGCGGTGACTATAAAAGCTTTAATTCACATTGTTCATGCGCGCAATTAAGCCTGTTTAAAAGAGCCGCGTCATCCACGATTATTAAATAGCCGCGCACAACGAATGTGGGACAAATGTTAACCACATAAAAGGCCCGACGAAATCGCGCCCTGTCCCTCCCCATTTTCTATCCAAAACCGTGTTGAAGTTAATGGAGTCGTCATTACTGCCCGCCACATTCGAGCGAGCGAGCTAATTAGCGCGGACACAAAATTCGTGCGAAATCCGCCGTTCGTTAGCAACGGCCATTGCCAATTTAATGCGGGTCAGTGGTCTGTGTGTTACAACGAATAATATTAATTAGTGATGCATTCGCGCGTAACGCACTTCGCCCCGAATAACAGCCAAATTCCGACAATTCCAATCGCACCATTGAAGAATAGTTCAAAACTCGAATTTTTATTTCACGATCGAGGCAAGATACTCAATATTTTATCCATACTTTCATTATTTTATAACACACAGTCAATAACATCTTATATATTCAAGCTCTATGTGATTTATTTACACATTGTTATTATATATTTTTTCTCGAGTTTTGGCGAGCAATTCTCGCGTTTATTAAATAATTTTCATCCTGTTTACAATACGCATACCTTGTGCAACTATGCAATATGTTTTTATCGAGTGCACGAAACGCAAGCCAAGTGCAAGTCATAGCTTTCGCTACCCGATTCATTTTTGCAAGATGAGAGAACTGCTGGCAAGGTCTCCATTGCCAAAATATTTACTTTTAAACACTATTATGCGTTTTAGGATTATTAATGGCATCGTTGTCACTGAGAAAAAGGGACAGAAAGAAAGAGAAAGAGAGAGAGAGAGAAAGAGAGAGAGAGAGAGAGAAAGGAGAGAAGAGAGTAGGAAATTAAGCAGTTGTGAGTTTAATTCTCATCTCTCTTCGACCGATGCACCGATTAATAGCACGTTAAATTACGGAGAGAATCTCGCGAGGTCCGAATGCATTCTGCGATGCAATCTGTTGGCTGTACGTCGCTCGAATTCATGTCGACACGGAAGTTCTGCAATTAAAGCGAAAAAGCCGATCAAATTGGGGATCTTCGAACGATTGGAGCCGCTCGATGGAGACTAACGAATTGTTTCGATTTAATAGGAGGATCGCGTTATTGTCGATACAGTATAATCGCAAGCTGATTTAAATATTTATGTTTTTGGCGATTGTTCCATTTCTTCTCGCAAAACATTTTTTTTATCATTTAAGCTGACATTATAATAGATTCTTTAGCATATTACTGATCGTTTTTCGAACATTCTTTTATGATTCAGTCTATTAATAAATCGTTTATTAATAATTTATTGACAATTTAATTTCTTTTATAACTACACTATTAATTTCATGATGTTGAATTATATTCAATTTGAATTATTTTTAATCTTTTCTATAGGTCGCTATTGCTCTAATCAATATGTCATTAATTAAATTAAAATAATTAATTAAACAATTTAACTCAAGAATATGTACTAAATTTAATTTAAATTTAATTTATTATTTATTAAATGCGTGCACTATTTACGTTATAATTATAGAAATGCAAAAATTAAATTATATTTTATACATAAAAGTTAAAAATAACAAAATGTTGTTTAACTCAAGAGATTGAATTACCATTTTTTTTTTAAATTTAACAGAATACTTAAATTCATAACGTCTAATTATACCTAATTTGAGTTATTTTTAAATATTTCTATAAGCTGCCACTGCTCCTACTCAATATGTCATTAATTAAAGTAAAACAATTAAATAATTTAACTCAAGAAAATTAAAATTTATTATTTATTGAGAACATACATTAACACAAATGTTGTTTACTTTAAAACTACCCACAGAAATGAATTAATTTATACATTTTGACAGAGACATATAAAAGACAATTCTAACATTATATACTTTATATTAGGTGTTGGAATTAATTCGTAGCGTTTTACAAGTGATGGGAAGTACTTTCATTAATGTATTTTTTAATGCTCATGTGAAATAAATAACATTCTTTCATTAAAAACGCTACGAATTAATTCCAACACCTAATAAATACGTTTTAAAAATATTTATTTCGAAATATATTATCGATCATATATATATATAAGTTAGTTTATATCTAACGGTTACGAAATGGTATCAGCGTTATTACACGGTGAATTACCTTTAGCTAACATGTACGTCTTCGTTTTTGTTTCAGTGCGTATTGTACCTGTGGGCGCTGAAATTGTGCCATCCAACCACACTTTTCCTTCTCAGAGGTAACCACGAGTGCCGTCATCTCACGGAATACTTCACATTTAAGCTGTAAGTAAACCCTCTTCGAGAGGAAGTAAGCTTTTCTCTCGTATTCATATTTATAATTTAACAAAATATATCATAAACGAGCAGTTTTACAATCTATGGAGATTGCAAATCTTTTTCTTATTCCTTCAAAAATTTGCAAGGAAGAAAGCCCGTCTATTCTTTCTCCCTCCGATCTCGAAATATTCATTTCCCCGCGTCGTTGAATCTTTTATATCGCCCCGTGCTGCACGCTTTTTAGCCGTGACCTGCTTTTGTTTTGCGCCGTAATAAGAAATTATTTCCTGTTTAATAATTTTCGACTCAGATTAAGTCTTCCGCCACGTTAGTTACGACGGGGTGTTGCCTCGTAAGGTGAATTAGCTTTACGCGGCGGCGAAATTTATGCAGCTCATCTACCTACCTACATCGCGAGCTTCGGCGCCTGACATACACGCGTGTGTCGTAATTACGGTCTAAGTAACAAAACATAGCTCTCGAGAAAGAACCAAAAGCTGAATAAAAATTGTAATCGTTAATTTATGTAGTATCGTTAAGTTTCGTAGATGAATATATTTACGACGAAGAAAACATAATGTTAACCATAAAGATAACCCTAGTTTACAAAAAATATTTTTTTAAACTACTTTAAACCAGATAAGGTGTTTCTTACGGATTTTTTTTTTCGAGGCTAAAAACGATGCAAGTCAAATTGTTATCTTGAAATTTTGATCAGTAGTCACGAATGTATTGAACTTTTTTTCATTTCAACTTACTTTTTAGTATCTTTTCGTATCATGTTGTGAAGCATTTTAATACATAGTTTTTTAAAGAAAATCTGTAAAAAATAGCTTGTTTAGTTGAAAATAATGCTGAATTTTGCTGTAAATTTGTGTAGTTTATCGATTTTGTATAAAAAAATATTAATATCGTATTATTTATTAATTACCTAAATAAACTATCCTCATGCATAAATATTGGAATCTAATTTTAAATGCATGCAGAAATAAACATATTGTTTTGTAGAATATTGTGTAAGCGTAATATTGGGAATATATTTAACCTAATTAACAGAATTCGTAATGGAGCTAATTTATATTATCTTTATATTTGTTTTCATGCCATCGCATCGTATTGAGAGTACAAATGTTATACCATCGCGTGACAATATCATTTTAAACGATTCATATTTCACAGTTTTGTTACAATTTATATTATTCACATTACTTTTTTTTTTTCGTTCTACATACTATAGAATTGTCCCGTTTAGATAAAATAAAAGTAGAAAATTATGTTATGAAAATTTTCTGGAATTAATAAAAAAAGATATGTGTTATACTTATGCTGTGCCATGTTGCAGTAAAAAGCTGCAATAACGAGACTCGATCGTAGCGATAACTCGTATTGCGTGTGCAATATCGACCTTGTGACCTGCGTGTGTCCCCACAGTCCTTCGATCACGTGTACCCCACGTCGGATAAGTTACGAGATCGTAAACCGCCGGACATCGGCAGCACGTTACATTCGCCGAACCCGGCCGGGGCATTTAGGGAACGCTTGCGATTCTCGCTCTCTTGTTGTTCCGCTTAAGTTCGAGCTTGTTCGCAACCAACGAGCTTCAGGATTACATTAATCGCGTGAGTTTACGCTACATTACGTGGGCTCTGCCCTAGTGCAATTTATACGCATGGATACCAGAAGATCCAGATTTGCGGCATGTTTAACGTCGGACGCAGCTGCTCATCTCGCATCCTCTCCTCCATCTATACACATACATTTGTACGTTTGTACGTAGAGCTGGTAAATGAAAGCTCGACGTGCGAAAAAATCGAACGATTGCCTTTAGTCGAAACGCCTGTCCGACGATTCTCCGCGTTCAATCCGCGCTTTCTGCAGTGAAAACTGCAAAACGGTACTTGCCTGCATCATCATACCGAGGAAATCACGCCGTATATTACGACTCGTTCTCGTCCTGTCGCTCATATCGTAAATGTTATAACGACGCGACTGGGGAAACCGAGACGGAGAGCGGGGGCGCCTTGCAAATACTCGTAGGTTGACCTAGTATCGGACAATTTTCCGCGATCGATACACTTTTCCGCGAGACGCCGCCTGTTTCTAATGCGCGAGTGTCCGAGCTATGCATTGCGAGGGATGCATCGACATCTTTGCGGCGACAGATCCGAAGGGACAATATTTTTCGAAGCTAATTAGGGCTGAAACGTCCCTAGTTTGGTTAGTGTACTGAAAAATGTCTGGTAATAATAATCAAACTTAGATGATAATTACTAATAGCGGTAATAGATTTGAACCGATCTCGATTGGATTAACTACGTACTATTAGTAGACCATGTAACATCAGCCAATAGTAGAGCATGTAACATCATTAATTTAACCCACGTTCGAATTCACTGCAGTCGAAAATGCTATAAAGCTTTGGTGCTTTTCGATGAAATAATTTGAATTAAACGTTATGGTAAATGTAATTAATTAAACACCAATCAAGAGCTAATTTTACTTTTCTGAATATTAATTTCACCCTTGTCATCTAGTCACTTATGTTTCTTTTTTGATAAATTACTAAAAGTCACTATTGTTTAAAATGAATTACTAAGAGTCACCTTTTTTTTTAAACTGATGAGATTTATAAAATACAAGCATTCCATTCACACTTTTGTCGTCTCATCTGCTAACAATTGCTATTCGCTCGTCGTCACTCTAATTGGGTCCAGTATTAATTAATCTATCGTTTTTTAAATTTTAAAAAAGAAATGTGAAACTAAATGTGATTTTCGAAAATTACAAATATTTTTCGCATATTTAAAAAATACATTTTTGTTTATTGCATTTTTTAAAATGTTTATTTTTTTACCATCTGATGAATGTGTTCATCCTTTTGTTTGGTTTAGTTAATAATACATTGTTATACGGTTATTCTCAAAAGAATAAACCAGTGAAAATAACAGCAGATATTTTTTTTTTGCCTGAATGAAATTAATCACTATGAAAATTTGATTTAAACATATATGTTATTTTTTGTTCATGTACTTTACAAACTTAAAAACTTACTTTTTCCATCAAAAAGAGTTGTCACTTTTTTGGTGCGATAATCAGAAAACTTATTTTTTCTAATTATTACTAAATAGTTAATTACTATTATTATACATTAAGTAACATTTAAATATTTCATCAATACGCAAACAAAATACATTTTGGTATATTATCAGATTTTTTTCAGTCTGATTAATTTATCAGCAATTTATTTCAGGAAGTCAATTCAAATTACGTCAATTCATTTTATTCTTAAAACTTAAAAGTGAAAAATAATATATTATTTACGACGTACTTATATCTTGCAAGTAAATCCGCCCGGTATCCTAATGATACTTTGATTATACGAACGTCGGACATAAATTCGTCGTATAGCACTTTTAACTGCCTCTAAAAACATTTTATGTATTATTAAACGTTTTATACTGCTTTATTGTCTCGTCAGTCCCGCATGATGTATACATCCCTCCCGTCATCTTTTATATTCCACCCTCACAGCTCTATTATTATTGCAAACGTAAAAAAAGCTATCTTGTAGTAAACGTCAAGAAGGAACAACACGGACTTCACTTCTCATCTTCACGCACTCTCCTTGCTTAGGGTCCATTCTCGTGCCCGGGGTTTCGTTTTGAAGAACAGTTCTAATTTCCTCTTACGTACCTACATCCAGAACCAGTGTAATGCCATTTCCGCCTGCGATATTAAGCGGAGTGCGAGTCACCCGACGAGGAGGGGAGGGGGGGAGGAGGGGGTGTTCACCCGACAAAAATTCGCTCGTTCGCGCACGCACCGTGACCCCGATTCCGCGCGCGTTTAATAACCGCGATAACCACGAAAATTCCAACGCGCGTGCACGTTACCAGCCGGCGCTTTAATCATCGTTTTAACGGAGCTTTTGCCGTGCATTTATTGGCGGACGTTTAGGAGCCCCTGTACGGGGGTTAGCGAGAGGGTGCGCCCTCGCTCAGAGGGCATATCCGCGTCTCTCTCCACGTTTTCTTCTTTTTCGCAGCCACCTATTTACGCGGCCTAGTTACCCGCCGCTATGTATTATACCGACATTCACGTGCCAGCCGATCGAGAAAATTGCGATTATCTCCAAGCGGTTCAAGCTTTTCCTCGCGATACGAAGTCGCGATAGCACGCTCGCACAGAAATGGGGGTAGCGTGGCGGTGATTCTCTCTCTCTCTCTCTCTCTCTCTCTCTCTCTCTCTCTCTCTCTCTTTTTTTATTTCCTTCTCTTTAAAACGAATGCAACAGAAATTTTTATATAACTCCGATAAACTGTCAGAGTATCGTACATATTTATTTTTATATAAATTAATGTAGCCGCAGCGGGCATTGTGGATTACAACAATGTGAGAGCTTGTCCCTATCGCGTCTTATGTAAAACTCAGGCATAATATTGTATAGGGAAATGCAGTAGGTCGTGATAATATATGCTCGCGCGATCCTACCCGCATTTTTTTCCCCGACGTTTTTCCAACATTTGCCGCGCGCACATTTTTCTGCCAATTCGGGTAACAATGACGCGAGAAAAATGTAGCGCGCTTAACCGTGACGTATAGAAAAGTTCGATATCGGTTCTATCAAGATAAATGCGCGGTTGCTCCTTGCCACCGTATATTTCGTATATCCCAAATATATCATTTTTCTACGTCGTGACTAGCGTAATACACGGTGATGCGACTCCGATCCTTGTATGAAAATGTTAAAATAAATAGAAGTATCTAAAAATTTAACTAAATATGGATACAGATTTGAAAATAATTTTGTTTGATCCGTCAAAATAATTATGTAGGACGCTCGTAAGACGCCAGTTGCTAAATTTCATTCAACATTGTCACCAACGCAACAAGTTTTTAGATATTTCAGCAAAACTCTCCTTTCTCTGTTGGATGTACTCATTTATATCCCACCGGAATTGATAAACCGATGGATTTATTGGACTCACTCAATTATATTTTTCATCTGTAAATTTAAATTATTGATATTATTAAAGTAAATTTGATATTTATTCTTTTGCGATTATGTCACCTTGATTCTTTAAAATTAATTATAGTGTCTTTCATTTATCAAAAATTAAATGAGTCTTACTTGTCGTGACTGCACGGTGTTACAAATTTTGAACTACTATACATATCAGCTCTTTGAAGAACTAATACTAAAATATTATACTTTATTATATATTTTTATTACATATTGTATCTTATTATATTCAGTTATAATCTACATGAGAATACAGTGCTTATTTCGCGATTGTCTTGCAACTGTTTTTATCTGGCTCCATCTAGCAGTGCACGACGCTGGAAACTTAACGATTGCGATTTTCTGATAGTCGCATGCCGAAGCTCGAGCTCGAGAAACACATTATTCCGAACGATTTTGTCGCTCGCACGCTTTTCGCGTTAGAAGCCGGGACGCGATGGCCGCGCGCCAAGATCGCTATGGCATGTCGTTTCGAAATGGATCTCGGTGCCAAAAACGATCGTTTGTCCGCGAATATGGGAGACGAACGCGCAATTAATTCGCCAACGATTTCGCCAGAACCGTCATTTTTGTCGCGGTACGCAGCGTGTGTTCCGCGTAATAGTCACGAGGATAGAATAAAACACTGTTTGTGAAGATCAGCAATCGTTGCGTGCTTCTTGCGAATGGATTACAAGATACAGGATGGCGCACAAATGTTATACTATTTTATATTTAACTCATTTATTTTTAACGAAATTGATAGAATATAATTTTGTATATCACAGTATTAATTAGGATTAATTAAACGGGAAGAATGGTTTTGCTGATGTGACTAAAAATTTGACTAGCTACAAATCTAAAAATAATTTTGCTGGGCCATCAAAAGGCTGAACTAGTATATACTTTTGGAACTTAGAGTGAGATGTGTATATTTGATATTTGACAAAAGCGAGAAAGAGAATTCTAATGAAGTCTAATGTTGCAGGAATAAAAAAAAGACTTAAAATAACTACGTGAGATGTTTAAATGTTGATGACGATGCTGCAAAAAATTTTAATATTTTTGCAATCAATTTAAGTGACTTACATAACGATTTGGATGGTCCAAAAAAAATTATATTCACATTTATATTATATTTAATTGAATTTTTAGATACGTAACAAAATCATTCTTTCCGTGCATCAAGACCTGAAAATTGGAAACAATTTAATGATGTGACATTTCATGCGCAACCCTGTATATTTTCTAGTCACCCAATAAGAGTTTCGTTCGATAATCTGTGTTTAAATTTATTTCAGATTGCTTTTAATCGTTCTTAGTCGACCTCAATCGAATTTCTATATTATTTACAATTAATCTTACTTGCCTTAATTATCTGTCGATTTAATTATGATGTTGTCGATTAATCTTTGTTAAACAACAGTCTCACAATGGTGTCTTTCTCTTTATTTCTCTCTACTTTAATAATCTCGAGACATGAGAGCTGCGCCGAATCCGTTCTTGGCGCGATATTACAGACATCCGTTTCGCAATACTTCAATCTGCAACCCCAAAGAGGCTCCTACGTCCACCAACTGGTCGTTCATTTGCGAGATCTCGTGAAGGTCCTCGAGTGGCAACTTCGAGCGACGATCCGTTTAGTTTCAGCGCCGACAAATCTTTATCCTGTCGAGATTACTCCGCTTTATTGGTAGGAAATCCTTTTCGCGCGTCACCTCGAACAGTGATTCGACGATCCTCCTTCTATGTAGTAAATACAGCTCGCTTTACGTCAATTTCCGAGGCCACATTTAACAGGAAACATGTCAGAAACAGAGAGCGATGGCTCGAGGAGAGCTTCTCACTAAGATATCCTTCTGAGAGTTAAAGTTTTACAATTTTCATGTGAAACAGCGTCATACGAGTTAGTTATAAAAGTAATCAGAACTTGGAATCGAAAAAGAGAAAAGAGAAAACACGAATTTCACCCGTACCACAGAATTGGTCCGTTTTACTCCAGAAATAAGACAACAATTACCCGCTCCGGATCTTATCTGCCGGAGCAGTTTATCGCTCGCGCGAGACGAGCGGGCTGTCGGTTGCATTCGTGGGTATGGCGAGAGAGAAGAGCTGCGAGGAGGAGAGACGTGCTGCGAAATTTCAGGAACACAGAACAGGCGTGGACGACCAGCCGGCTTCTCTCCGTATTCTAGAGAGTATCCATTATTCCGCGAGGATTGCGACGTGAAATAGAGCCCCCGTGTGTCCGCCATTCTTTTTACGACTCGTTCGCGGAATAGTCCATGCCCGACTATGCGTGTTTCGCCTCGCTTGTCAGGATCTTTCCTCATGACTCCCTCACGTCGCCTTTATTTCCTCCTCCATCTCGACCTTTTCACCGAACGTCAGATTAAACGTGTCAACTCCGTTCTCAATGTTCTCATCTGGTTTCATAAAGGAGCTACGAAAGTAGTCCTCGACATATTCGTACGATCATTGTAAACGACATTGAAAGCTCTGATAGAAATTACGAAATACTTTTATGATGAACAAAGTTCTAATATTCTAATGTTATTTTAATTTTGGACATCTTTTTCTTTTTTGCTTTCCAGGTAAAATAAAATACTCCGAGAGGGTATACGACGCGTGCATGGATGCCTTCGATTGTTTGCCGCTCGCCGCCCTCATGAACCAACAGTTCCTCTGCGTACACGGTGGTCTGTCGCCGGAAATTCACAATTTAGAAGACATTCGCAAAGTAAGTAAATTCTTTATGTGCTCCAGTTGTTGCGTGCCTCGCGTCACGATGTTGAATAACTCTGTATTAAAATGTACATAAATGAATCTGTGACGCCAAGCTTTGTTGGTACAGAATTAACATTTGACATAAAGAATAAGTGCCTTCTAGATAAAAGAGTTCTTTGTGAAGCTTCTCATTGATATTTATTTTGTCTTCAGTACCTTCGATCGAATCCTTTTCCTCGTAATTTTTTCAGGAAACTTTAGAAAAGAGTGTCTTTTGACTATTGTCCAATTTAAACTCGAGATTGCTTTTTCACACGGAAAGAATAATTTTGTTAAAATATCTAAAAATTTATAATTCGATATATAATTTAGTTAGATACAAAATAATTTTCTTAGACTATCAAAATAATTATGTAAGACATTCAAGCTGGTTGTTAGAATATAAAAAAAAGATTTTTGCATTGTTTGCAGACTCATCATATTTGAGCATCCTACATTTTGATGGTCCAACAAAATTATTTTCAGATTTGAGCACTAAGAAAAGAGCTTGATAATAGCTGCTAAATATTGAGAGAAATAATACCAATCAAATGTTCGGTTAATGTAATTAAAAATAATTTTATTTATATATATATATATATATATCTGAATATTTTTAGTAAGTTTTATTAAATACAATATAACCAACTGTTTGATAATACTTAAATATTTAAAAAAAGTAAAAAATTATTTTTAGTTATATCAACCGAACATTTGATTGGCATTATTTCACTTAATATGTGATAATTATTACTTTCCTTCTTTTTTTTAGTGTATTTATACACAGAAAGAACGATTTTGCTAAAGTATCCAAAAATGTAACTACACTGAGAGAAAAGAATGGCTGCTGCAGTAAATTAAATGATAAAAATATGGCATAGTATTTTTAATTGATTGCACTTTTTTATTACAGCAGCCAATTTTTAGTTGCGTTAGCCTATGTCAGTGTAGGATTTCGATAAGCTAACGTAACCAAAAATTGGCTACTGCAACTAATTAAAAATGCTATGCCACATTCAGCCAATTTTTTCTTTCAATGTAGATCTGAAATTAATTTTATTAAATTATCACAATAATAATTATGTAGATAGTAATTATTATATTTAAGTGTTGATGATAATGCTGCAAAGTTTTAATACTCTATCAATCAATTTAAGCGTCTTATATAATTATTTTGACAGTCCAAACAAAATTATTTTGAAGTTTGTATTCTGCTAAATTTTTATATTAAATACTTCAGCAAAACCGTTCTTTTCGTATAGCTAAATTTTTAGATATTTCATCGAAATCGTTCTTTCCTTATGCTGTCAACAACTTTTCGTGGGGAATCCGCACTTTCGTCGGGAATTCAAGTCACGAGAAACTATATAGGACGGCATCGCATCTTAATGAGTCGTGATCGTTTGATAATTGCGTTACTCCTTGCCCCACGTCTCCGAATGAATTAGCCTTGCTATTATTTCTCACAATCGTGCCGAGGCCAATCGTTCGATCGGCTGAGAGAGTCCAATGACACTCCGCCGCGCCGGAAGCGAACCAGGGAGAGCACCGACGTGCTGCCACCTGCTCTATCGATCCATCCACCTACGCCTTTTACCTTCCTGCATTGCGTGCGGCACACACGGGCGTGCGTGCGATACACGCGTCCCGATCACGCGCGTCCGCGGGCTAGACTCTCCCACTGGCTACAGCTCCTTTCATCTTGCCGTTCCAATTGCGGTATCGTATTTGCCTGCGTCTCTCGATTCCGCAGATAAACGATAAAACGAGTATCCGCTCGTGTGCAGAATAGGACACGTTAAATATAGCCGGGGTGCAAACGCGCGATCGTCTGGACGCGTTTCGAGGCGAAGGCGGTTCTAATTATTCTCCTCTTACGCTTTCGAGACGTTTTCTTTTTGTTATAATGCCTTATCGTTATAATTAGACGAAAAGAACGATTTTACTGAAAGATCTAAAATTTCACAGGAGGATACAGACCTAATAATAATTTTGTTGACCCATCAGCATAATTTTGTTGGAAACTCAAACTGATTGTTGAAATATAAAATTTTTTTAAAACATTGCTTGTCATTTTTTTTTTTAGTTAAATTATAAGCAATTCGAAAAATTTTTATATTAGCTTCCAACATAGTTATTATGAATGTCAAAACTTTTTGTGAGATGCTCATCACGTTTGAGTATATAAGGTGATCATTAGGTTTGTATCTAAGCTAAACGTTCGCTATTTCGCAACAAGTAGACTGAACAAAACAATTGAAACGCCATTTTCTGCATTCATGTTAATGCTCATGAGCTAGCTTGTACAATTGCTCAAACGAAATTGACAAATTTCCTCTACAAAACGACGATTTCATTTGTTTTGTTCGATCCACTTGTTGCGAAATGATAATCATTTAGTTGAGACACAATCCTAATAGTCAGCCCTGTATAATTATTTTCATGATTTAACGAAATTATTTTCAGATCTATATCTTAACTTAATTCTTAAATACTTCAGCAAAATCTTTTCCTTGTCGTTGTGCATCAAAGCGGCGATGAACAAGAAATAGATTCGCCTCTTTTGGAATTTCTTGAACTCTCGTATTGGACCCCAAGACTCATTCAACTTAACGCGCGCATCGTCCGTTCCGAGAGCTTTCTCGCGTCTTTTCCATGTTCCGCGGTATCGCGTTTTACGTTGGCAATCGAAATTTCCGAGTGACACCTCGTATTTCCCGGCTATCGACATCCCGGCTTCACGCCCGACACACGCCTGAGAGACGACGGGAAGCGATGGAGCAGTTTCGTATTTCGCGGCGCTCGTAAAAATTCGCGCTATTTTCATATTATCGAAGCTCGTGGATTTCGCTCGTTCGTCGGGCAGCATCCCGTTGAATTTTCTCCGCGCAGCTGCCTGAGATCTCATCTCGTTTTGGGACGTTCCGCTTTTATACTCGCGATACTATCCTCGTAAAGATACACGTCCGAGAGATAGGTTGAATTCGAATGAAAGAGAACGAAACGGGGTAGAAGATACGGATGAGAGAACGCAGCGATCTCGTTTAACGATCGACGGATCCTACGATTCTCGGCATCTCCGGCATAATTAAGGAAAACGACGTGCTATTACAATGATGCGACGCTATAAAGTGACGTAGATTAATTCCTCCGACTACTCTGGTAATTTGGAACGTGACATGTTCGGAATAAAAATTCTCGGTAAAAAACGCGCCTCATTCGTTGCTTGACAGAATTGAGAGCGAAATATAATGTGGAATATTGCGTGGATGTGAACCGATTGCGAAATTGCGTGGGGAAAGATCTGTCCTTCACACTGATAGAGCAATTTTGTTGAAGAATCTAAAGAAATTTAATTAGATACAGATCTGAAAAATATTTTATTGGACATCAAAACAATTGGATAGGACGACAATTATATGAAAACATTTTGCGGCATTGCTTACATCTAGAGAAAAGATTGCTCCGATTTAAAGAAATTTTCTTTGTTATACAGTTAAAGAAAAAATTTCTTCGAATTGTGAAAAAATTTCTGTGATTTAAATTTATTTTTTAAAATCAAATAAAATTTATTTGATTTAAAGAAATTATGTCCAAATCCAAGAAATGACATTCAAACCATGATTTCTTGGATTTGGACATAATTTCTTTAAATCAAATAAATTTTATTTGATTTTAAAAAATAATTTTAAATCACAGATATTTTTTCACAATTCGAAGAAATTTTTTCTTTAACCGTATAGCAAAGAAAATTTCTTCAAATCGAAGCAACCTTTTCTCTGAGCGTATCATGCTAAAATTTCTGAAAAATTATTTTGATGATCCAACAAAATTATTGATTTGTATCCAACTAAATTTTTAGATTCTTCAGCAAAATTGCTCTTTCAATGCAACGTTTCATTTAAGATAATTTAGTTCCCTTCACGGTAAATAAACTTCAAAATGAATCATGAAATTATTATCGTTCAACTGCTAACGTTTAACGTGGTCGAGAGCATCTCGAAAGATGGTAATAAATATCGCTTGTCTGTTGAGCAAAGTTTCCCCGAGAATTTATTATCGGTATATAAGTTCTAATCGCGGTTTCACGATTTCTGCCCGTCACCAGACAGAATTTCGAGTGCCGCGTTTTATTTTCGAACGGTTTTATCGCTGGCGTTTCAGGACGTTTGATATGGAAATCGACGTTCCCGGTTGGACGATATCGTGAGTCCTTTGCGAGTAAGAGCCCGTAAAACGTGACCGTACGCGCCCTGCACCTTGGAAATGTTTCTCGGCAGCACTTTAACCGCCTTTCCGCTTCTCGCTATCCGGATAATCGTTCTGAATCTTTCATCGCGACTCGCACGCATGAGACCATCACTCCATAGGCAGGATTCGAAAAGCTCATGCCTCATTGCAATGTATGTGTGAGGATATCAAGATATTCGTCCGTTAACCTTTCTCGAGTACAGTAAATAAATCATGAGCGTATTTTTAGAGTAGCACGCATCTATAGTTTCGAAGACGTTAGATCGTGACGTATGTTTGCATAAACGTTGCGAGTTGTGTTAAATTCTTACAAGATCACGAAACATGTGTGGCTTCGTCAACAGTATTTCATTTAACCTTTAAGTAAATAGACAGTTAACTAAAGATACGCAGCTGATAAGAGCTTAAAAGACCTAAAAAGAATTTTAATTTTATTCTGTTAATCCACAATGTGTGTCAAATTATATTCAATTTGAATTATTTCTAATTGTTTCTGAAGATAGTCGCTACCAATATATTGTTAATTTTGAATGAAACAAAGTTAATAATTATAAATATAATCATTTAACACGTAATATGTAACAATAATAAACTCAATAGAATTAAACAATTTAATTGAAGAAAATGTATTAAATTTGAATTATAAGATTCTTATTATTAAATTTGATTCAAATTTAATTTATTATTCACTAAATGCATACATTAATATGATGTTTACTTTGA